CCAACTTAATTCACTGAATCAAATAACTGTCATGTTACACTAAGCGATGATTCTCGGTTAACGTGACACTTAAGCACTTGTAATCGGTTTGTAATAAACGCCACTTGAGTGGCCAAATTATTCCAAATACGTGTCTCCTTCATTCAGTGAATCCAGGCTGCGTGCACGAACGCAATTATAAATATTTCAGTCTATTGTCTATATAGTTGGTATAACTGAGCCGCTCTCGGCATAAAAGACTTTTCAACTCCACAGTTTTCTGTATGTGTTTTGTTTATAAGTCAGGGTTTTAGAGCTAAATAAGATATAGGAAGCCGTTTCTCGCGTTGCTAGGTGATCGCTTCTGTTATTCCTATTTTCCTTTTAATATGACGGTCTGAAAACCGGGTTCAAGTTACTTCACGGGCAAGCCGAGGCAAGCCTATTGTTTCTATTAAATAAGGGAGACGCTAATTAGTAAACCTATACCGAATTAGTATGCAGGAAGGCATTTTTACCCAGCTAGTAAGACACTGACTAGGCACATAATTAATATGCAGGAAGGCAGTGACTAGGCACTTAATTAGTATGGAGGAACGCACTTCTTTCCGAGGTGACGTCATAGACTAGGCACTTGCTAGGCACTCACTAGGCACCAGCGGGGTTAAGTTTGCTGAAGCAGTTTGCTGAAGCATTACTACTAACATTTGATATGAGCATTATCCTTATAGCGATCGTAATTGTTTTTAAGTGATATGAGGTGATTTTGTTGTTTAGAAACGTACGTTCGACTGACTGGCCATAACTCGACCTTTGCTGGTCGCGTCGAAGTGTTTTCACGTGGAGTCTGGGGACGTGTCATAAATCATCCTTATTATTGGCGTAAAAAGGAGGCTGACATTGTGTGCAGGCAGCTCGGTTTCCCAGAAGCCATCACCGCTGTGGGGTACTCAGCTTTTAGAGAGGGTTCAGGACCGGTTTTGATGTCACGTGTACGGTGTCTAGGTACAGAGAAAACTTTACAACAATGTTCATACCAAGACTGGGTCAACAGCTATCTTAGGCCAGGTTATGAAGTGGGAGTGATTTGCAAGACTTTTAATTTAGAACCTGATAACAATGGTAAGCAATTTTTATAAAGACGGGGCTTATTTAAGTTATCTGGTCATTGACCATCGATGGTCTACATTACTTTCCTTTAAAATTCAAATTTTCTGCGCCCTGCGAATTTCTGAAAGCTCAAAGGCTGATTGCTATAAATGACAACAACAAAAACCTTGTTCAGTTTTCAAATCCACCCTAACCCATCCCCCGAAGTGACTGCCGGAATAAATTTCCTGGCGAGTCAATCTTATCGTGGTCGTAGAAGAGTGTTCTGAAAAAAGCAGTCCCGGCCTTGACGTGAGGTCCCTAGTGGCAAAATGGAAAACAGTCACTCTATTTTGTTCTAAAACGTAAAGGAGGGATTGTGGTAAAAAGCCCTGTTTTCCGTTTATTTCTGCCCTTTTGCATCCAAATCTACAATCGGCGACAAAATTGTTGAGACATTGTACTCAAATAGGGTAACTTCAGAGAACAAAAGAATCCACACCCCTCCCCTCTCCCCATGGCATTGTTCAAAATTGGGGTTTTTTGTTGTTTTCTATTATAAGTAGCTCGATCAGCGACACAATATTGCATGGAGGGGATGGGGGAAAGGAAAAGCTTTATTTTCCCCTTTTGAAGTTTTTTTTTTTACCGGTTTTTATTGAATTAAAGACAAGTTTTACAATGTTATTTAATAATCATTAATTAAATAAATTATACAATTCCACTTAAATCAACACTAACCTAAGAGAAAAAAGAAAAAGGATAACATTAAAAGCGAAAAAAGGACAAAAAATTACAACAACAGCAACAATAACTATACCAAACAGCTAAGGAAGAAATTGGCATTTTTACGAACCACTGTCTATTAACTACTATTAAGTGCATTAGTTAGCTTCTACCACTTTTGACAATGGAAAAGAAGTTTATTTTTCTCCCTGGCGATATGGAGCTCAAAATTGATGACACGTCTTGCCCTAGCAATAAAACCTCTAATTGAAGCTACGCTACTTTGACATTTCCCATAGTAGATGTAATATTTACCAATTCACATGCTTAGAATATAGTCTTCTACAATATCAAATTTTCCAAATATCACATCCGATTCATTAATTGTCCCAACATGAAGATCATTATCTCTTAGGCAGGACAAGACATGTTTCCAAAAGTCAGAAGATATCTTGCAGGAGAAGAGTAAATGCTCGACGGATTCGGCTTCTTCTTGACAGAAAGTGCAGTTTGGCGATTCTACTACACCAATTAAATTAAGTTTCTCGTTTGTAAAGATTATACAATTTAAAATTCTGTATGGAAATTCCCACCTCTAGGGTGCTATACGTTTCCTGAACGAAACATATATCGGCAGGAGATTTAAGCAGCCAATTAAAAATAGACTTTCTTCTACCAAAAGAGCGAATTCCGCGAACCCTTAATGACAAAAGTTTATGTTTTGTCGCCCCATGTCCAAAGAGATAAGCTGTAAACTTCAAATGAGAAGCCAACGCTAAATACCAGATAGACGTCCACCACCAAAACAAGGTGCCACTAAGCTCATTTAACCCTCATCTACCATAATTTCTTTTCTTCTCATATCAACATCATTTCACCCGAAAAAAACAAACAAACAAAACGCCCCCTTCACGCCATGAGCCGGTCGGTCTTCATCTCTTTTCCTTTTTCGTTAACGATTAGAAAAAAAAATAAATAAAAAAAGGAAACTTTTCCTCTAGAGCACTCTGTTTAATATTAAACCAGTTAGAGACTTCTAAGCTCTAACCCTTAAGCAAAGTTTGTTCGTTCATTACCGGTGTGATATGGGTAAAGACAACACACCAAAAAAAACTTTAATCCCATTTTCGTAGATAATCTGATTCGCCTTCGAGGATCCACCTTACCTTACGCTGGTCGAGTTGAAGTGTTTTATACAGGAGTCTGGGGAGCAATTAGTAGCAGAAACTGGGATATAAATGACGCCACCGTAGTTTGTCGTCAGCTTGGCTACTCAGCTGGAGCGGAAGTGGCTTTAACGAACGGTGTTTATGGTCTGGTCAGCGGTCCTGTTTGGATTACCAATCTCCAGTGTACTGGAAGCGAGTCAAATGTTATGGAATGTGTTCATGATGGGCTTGGAAATAAAACTGAATGGCAGCATAGAGCCTACACCGTCGCCAGTGTCATTTGTAAGGACTCGTCATTCAACAACGGTAACAAAAGTTTCCCTTGTATAGTCACACACAGGTCTGCCTACGTCTCACTTTCTAATCGTTACACTGCATTATATAATCACAAGTTTTTGAATAATTTTATAAATTCAAAAGGAGTTAATTAGCGTTTCATGAATGCCACTAAATCTGAATCAGATCCAACGAGCAAGCATTAGCCTCAGCATTTTGCTTCATTTTTTCAGTTTGCTCAATAGGCCACTTCTGAGTTCCAAGAACCTTCACTTTCAAAGTGAGGCCACGTGCACAACCTTCCTTGTGAAAATGAGTTTTATTTGCATGAGAATGAAAAATTATTTCCATATTGAAAGGCTAAGCACTTAACCTCGTTTTGATAGAGAGGCCCGGGGAAACTCGGAAAAGACTCGCCTATTTTAATCCATTGCAACTGCCGGTTATTGTACCCCTGGCGTGAACAGCCCATGTAAACTGTCCATGTGTCATTATATGGCTCTAATTCAAGCCTCTTCTATCCACAAAATATTTCAGTAATGCCGATTAGGCTACGAGGGTCACACTCATCAAATATGGGACGAATAGAGGTTAATTACGCTGGAACGTGGGGTTCAGTTTATGCATCAGGATGGGACATTAAACACGCCACAGTAGCGTGCAGACAGCTGGGATATCATTCAGCCTTCCTTACAGGATCCACAATTTTTTGTTCCTCTGATATCCCAATGTGGTTCACTTACTTCAAATGTTTTGGTGATGAAACATCCTTGGAACAATGTGCTCGGGATTTCTACCAATATTCGTCGTCTACATATTGTGCAAATGTTGTATGTACTAACAAAATGACTGAAGAAGGTGAGAACTGTAAATATTATTAAGTTAATCGTTGCTCCTGTTTCTATAACGGGGAACGGGAAACAAGCACGGGGATCGGAAAATGAAAAATGTGACCAAAAGCAAACTTGAACCTTAGCCCTATTATCCATTTTCTGTTTTTCCCAGTTTTCATTTTGCCGTTCCCTGTTCCTCTTTTTACTGAGTAACATACTATTTTTTCGCTATTTCAAGAACAATATAATCACAAAATTTAATGCTGTGAAAATTATATGATGTTTTAAAACAGTTGGAACGGCAAGGTTGTTGTGACTTGCAGCCAGTTGATGGCTATAACTTAAAAACGAAAAAGAAAACTTAAACGCTAGATTTTTAGTATTTTCTTCTCCCACCAGGTGTGTATATTTTACTGCAGTTTAATTATATTGAAGCGCGCGCAGCGGAGCCCTTTACGAACAAACAAACATAAAGGAAAACAAGCTTTTCGGAAACATTTCAGGCATTCTACTTGCTCTCTTGAATAAAAAGGTTTGTAGTTGTACATCTTTCATTGTAGTTTTATTCACGTTTTGATTGTCAGTCATAATTTTGCAAGGTTTTATGCAGTTTTTCTTCCTTTTGTGGACTGCCGAGTCAGAATGACGCGTGAATGAAGTGGTTTAAGGATGGAGTGTGATTTGTGCCTGTGTTTACCCATTAACTAACATATTTTTCCATCAGCCTCGCCGAAAAGAAAGTACATATGCCGATTATTCTACCGACAGACTCGTGACTTTTCTGTAGTTTACGTCTAGTGCGCATTTAGCCGCATGAAATACACAACACGCTAAGGGCGGTTTGTGTAGAGTGAAAATTGTGATTATTCATAGCGGGAAATGTTAAATAAGTTATCAACCTTCCTTTTCGGCAGAAAAAACAAAAACCAAAAAGTAAAGTATAACTTATACAGTTACTGTTACTGAGTATCAGATATTGTGATAAAGTGTAGTTTGTCGGTCGAATATTGCAAAGAAAACGTATTCTCGGCCTAACACAAAAATCGGCCTAATTTATAATTACCATTTGGGTAGAATACCTTTGAGACGGAAAGACCAATAAACATAAACACTGTGACCTGAATGCAGCCGAATGACAGCAAGACTTTATTAAACGGCATTAAATTTTGTAGGCTATTGGCTCTCAAAGGGGTGTGGTGGCGGAGTCAGTGATGCACACGTACGGGGAAGAATTCCTTTCCAACATAGTTACTGTGATCGAATTTCACTATAATGTTCATTGTCTTTTTGTTTTAAAATCAGATAAGTATAAACTTCTGGATTTGCATAGATTGAAGCTTATTCATTTCAATTTTTTGGTTTTAAGTAACTTTAAAAAAGTTTTTAACTGGACGCTTCACTTTTAGCCTTGGATAAATCTATATAATATACATATAAATCTATATAATCTATTCAAACACGGATTTCCGGAAACATTTTTAGGCGATTTTTCGTGATATTTATATCTATAGACTTAGGCTGAGTGGAGATTTCTCCTTAAAATGCCACGAAATCTATTTTTCACCTCTAGCACCCGAGGTGAGACTCAGGGGTTCTCCAGTTCCTCACGCTGGCAGAGTAGAACTTCGTATCAAAGGTATCTGGGGAACGATTTTCCAAGTAAACAGTTGGTATTACACTCTCGGTCCAGGAGCAACTCGCGTAATATGTAGACAGCTTGGATTTTCGGACGCTGTGATATCTGCTGGTAATTCCGTGTATAGACCTGGAGTGGGCCCCGTGTGGTTGCGCAGTAACCATCTGCGTGGATGTTTGGGACACGAGAAGAACATATTGAATTGCTCAAACAGCTCACCTCGTGTTACAAGTTATTATGGTCATAGCGGTGATGCAAGTGTTGTATGCAAGCCAAACACGTCACATACCAGTGGTAAGTAGGAAAAGCTTATGCATCAGTCAATTCTAAATGCGACCCCCACCCAACCAACACAGCACTCCCCAACCCCCCAACAGATAGAATACTTATTTAGCCATACGTTGCACTTTTTTTTCTTCCCAAAAGCCGTGAATTACAATAAAATAATAACAATTTAACGCCTGTGATAAAATTTACACATATACATCAATATTTATCAATATATTATAATATCTTGACCAATATATTATAATATATTGACTACCCTACCCTAGGAATAAACGTTATAAGAGCCCGGTTCAACTGAGTAGCAGTGAAGAAACTAAACTTCGATAGAGAGATTGAGGGAAACTAGTCTGTCCTTAATTGCTCCGAAGGATCTTTCGCATTTTAATTCGTCTGATAATGCATTCCAGAATTTTGCCCCGGTGTAAGCAAAGCTTTCCGGTAACAATCTGTTTTAACTGCCGGCAAGGCTAGATTGCATTCCACCTTGAGGTCCTTAGATTATATGCCGAGCGCCCGCTGATACTCGAAAGCATTTCCTGTAATTACGCTGGGGCCATATTCTCCTATCACGTTTATTTACTGTTGGTGTTCGAATTTCGTGGGAAAAGTTGTGTTGGAAAGGGAGCATGGCCGCCAAGATGCCAGCTAGTGTCTCCTACCTTGTGTATTACGTTGTATGGAGGGTGAATTTGAGCAAATTATGATGAAAATTCGTTGGAGTATTAAGGAAAACAGCAACTATATAACTGCAGAGTTGCAAGTTTTATTGACCTTTATTTTGTATTTCCTACAAATTTTAGGAGTGTATTTTTACCCAATACAAACACTACTATTTATTGAACCGTACTGTGGTACTATCACAGAGCCTGTGGGTTACTTGTAGTCAAATTTGAAACTGTAACAAAAAGGCCTAATCTTTTTTAAGACTTCTATACCAGATGATACTTTTTTTTTTACACTAGTGATAAACTCTTCAAAAACATTTGCTGCTGGCTACTTTATCATAGCGATTCCGAAATTCTGTTTATAGAGATATCGAGCCCTTTCTCTTGTTTTAGAGTCACTATTCTTTGCCTTAAACCAAATAGCATTAATATTCCGTTTTTAAAGTGAGCCTGTTTGCTATCAGCTAATTTTGCTATCAGCCACATTCATATGGTACTGTAGTTCAGGGAAGCTGCAAGCGGTGAAAGTCAAATTATTAGCATCATCTGCATACATTCATGTGGTAACATAATCATTTTAGTATTCATTCAAAATATTTCCCCGATTCTGATTGGCTAAAAGCACACGCATAATTGACTATAACCAGCTGCTAAACTGTCATATTGAACCGTTGACCAAGGAAACCCGGGCACGAGGTTGAGTTGTTTTAGTTGTTTGAACAAAATGGCGGAACTGTAGGGCGGACATTGTACTCGTTTCACGGCGAAATATTGTCTAAAAACATAGGAAGAACAGTGAGAAGTCAACTCGACGGACAACATCTGCTATTTAGAGTATTTTTGCAGACCTGAGCAGATCTTTATCTGCTAAATTTCCCGAAAAAGATGCAGTATCGATGTGAACTTAACATCGGCCAAGGTAAGCATTTTTAGCTTGTTTTTAAAGTTGGAATTATTTTGAATGAATAATAAAGCAATTATTCGGCGTATCGCAGGATATGAAGAATTCTGCAGATCTCGGAGGGTGTTATCCACCTCCGCCTTCGGCCTCGGTGGATAACAACCTCATTCAATACTCAGCCTTATTCAATAATTGCTAAATATTACAAATATTAGAAACAAGAGTGGCCCAATTATACAACCCTGGGGAACACCACATTTTAGAATGGATTTCTCGGAGATTACGCTTATCAGTCCCCTGTTTATATTAAAATACGCCTGATTGGTAAGATCAAGAAGGGCAGTTACTGTTCACTGAGGGAATCTGAAGACATATTGACGAGGATCTAACGTTATTTATAATTAAATAGTGGTAGACTTGCTCATAGACTAGACCCTGGATACGGTTAATAAGACTGATATTGGTCTATGATTACTGATTTGGATTATTACGTTCACCTACTTTGAACAAAGGGAAAACTTTGCCAACTTCCAGTCATCAGGAAATTCTAAACCTCTTAGTGTAAATAACCGAAGCAGCAAACTTGAGGATTTTTTTTGCATATTTGATCCAAACCAGTTCCTTTGGCTATATCTAATTTTGACAGTAACTTTAAAACTCTTGCAGGTTTCATTTCGGTAAACTTAGGTAATCTTCAGCATAATATAGATGCTGTAGGAAGATTTTTGTTTTAGTCAGTTACTCGGCTATTTAGTCCCCGGATAGCCATAAAGTTATCGGCCGTTTTCTAAAGTTTACTCATGCCAAAACAGCTAGGCTGCCCCGCCACTGCCCGGAAACGAGGTTTGATTGGACATTGGGGCAGTATACCATCGAATCGAATCCATTATATCTTGGCTGCATCTTTCAAATAATTATGCAAAACGCCTGATGAAGAATTAGTCGGAGGATTTGGGCCAATCAGAAAAGGAGAAATACTTTGAATTAATAATGATAAAGCTGCAGCCTGCGTGCTTATGAGGGCAGGCGATATAAGCATAAACATAAAAGAATGCCAAATACACCATTAAAATACCAAACTTTTCCGCGCGATTTGATTACAGACACACTGTTGATGTCGCAGAAAATTTGCCTCCTATATTTTGCCCAAATGGGGCACAGTGTGGAAAAGCAAGTGATAAAGGAATCGAAATACCTATATCGCGCAGAATATCTGGACTATATTGATTTTCCATAAACAGCGCGAAGCAGCAAGTTAGAATACCTTTGTGCTTTGAAATATCCTTGTTAAGAGAATAACGCCCAAATACGCACTCGCTAGGGTTGAACAAACCCTCCTGTTTTTATCCGCGTTTACATTTCATTTGTTTCGTTGCAGACTTTCAGGTTCGCTTAAATGGATCCAACCTCTCTTCTGCGGGCACAATAAATGTGTTGTATTATGGAATCTGGGGTGGTATTCTTAGCCATAATGTTGACATTCGTGTAGGTCACGTGGTTTGCCGCCAACTAGGATATTCTAGAGCTGAACGGATTTTTAGGTACCCATCGTTTGGGCGAGTGATAGGCCCATTGTGGATATGGAGCATACAGTGTAATGGCAACGAAATAGAAATATCTCAGTGCAAAGTGGAAACTTGGGACAAAATCTGGAAGACATCATGGTATCACCGGCGTTATTATTATAGATATTATCAACAACGACCACGAAATGCCGCTAGTTTGCTGTGTAGTAAAGAAAATTCGAGCCTTTCAAAAGGTGAATTACGGTGATAAATATTTGAGAAAACAGCCTTCTTTTCCACTGCCGTTTTAAAAGGGGATAGAAAAATAATTTCATCCCCCGCCCAAAAAAAGAACATTTTTACATGTTCCTGGTCATTTTCCAAAAAATATATTAAGTTTAAGATGAGACCTAAAATCAAGTGGACGAATAGCACAAAACATCACAAAAGATTGGCTTCTTCAAACTAAACAGCGAGCAATGATTTTCAGGCTGAAGGAAGATAGTGGGAGAAGGGAGGGAGATATTGAGTGCCCAGAAATGTCGTTGACCACAAAGCATAGTTCGTAAGTGATAAGGAAATACCTTTGGAAAAGAAATAACAAATCAGGATGGATACAGATGTTTCAACCTAAAAAAAAAAGCCAAAATTCTTAAATAAATAGCTATCTTCAGAAAGAAAAAACAATTTCGCTGATGAAACTTCTGCGATGGAAGCAAAAGCTTCGAATTTGAAAACGTTCTCTCCAATGAAATAACTCACATTTTTCTTGGTTTTAAAAGTTTTAAATTTGAGGCTTGCTGGTGCACCGATCTCTAACGCTGGGCGAGTAGAAGTATTATATGCTGGTGTGTGGGGTACGATTCGTGGTCGGAATTGGGATTTCAATGGTGCTCACGTGGTGTGTCGCCAGCTGGGATACCCTGGAGCTATATTATTTGGAAGCAGCAATCAGTTTGGGATCGGAAATGGACCGTCGTGGTTTCAAAACGTGAGATGTCTGGGGAATGAATCCAGTTTCGAAGAATGTTCAAAAGATATCCTGGGGTACCCGAATGGCGGCTACTTGTCAGTGGCAACGGTGCTGTGTAAATCCAAACCCCAACCAGGTGAGACTAGTATAGAAGTGAAAAACATTTTTTATGTTTGATGATTCGTGAAAAGTCGTGGCATCTAGGAAGGGTAGACTGATTGGCCCACAGTCATTAAATTTTGTCGAATTTCTACAAAATCCCTTTCCCTTACCTCATTCTCTAACCTGGATTATTCTATAGTCCTTCAGAGCTGCCAATTACCGGTGAAAAAGGGTCCAATAAACGGTTTACATGTGATAAAGCTGCCAACCAATTCCGTGAGACTGTATAAAAGAGCTATTTTGACGGCTCGCAGCACAGATTCTCGGTTACTGCTAAATGCCCGGAATTCCGACCGCGCGCGAGGGAGGAGGGGAACGCCTTCAAGGAAGTCATTGTTTTCGCCATTCCGCCCACTAATTCAAAAATAACAAAAATAACACAACTGTGAATGACCAGCCGTCAAATAAGTCTGGCTGCGGTGCACGTATTCTAGACGTATTTCTTGCACCATTTTTCTTTTGTTTTCCTAAAACAAGAAATCTAAAGTAAAGGTACTATAAAAAAAAGTTCAAATACGATCGTCCATCAAAGGAATCTTCCTTGAAAGTTGCAACGAGTTACATAAATCCAGCATAAATCTATTCAAGTTGTTGCTGAAGGAATCGGGCTGGAAAACTATTTAATAAGAAATGTAGCGGCTCTTCGCAACTTTCAATGCAATGTTTGTCCAAAAAAAATTAAAACACTTCGCCGTCACGCACTCTTTGAATTTCTCTCAGGACGAATTGGATCCAGCGGAGCACACAAAAGAACGCTGGTGGCGGGGATCAAAAGAAAGGCTGAACTTCGAAGGTCTTCGAAGATCTACAAGAAGGCAACAATTCATTATTAAAGTAAGTTCCTGGCAGTTTTATAACCGGCAAGAAGAAGTCCTCAACCAAAAATTGCTAAAAGTTATAGATCGCTTCGTCTTCAATTATCTTGCCGTTGATAACGCGGGTCAAACAGCAGATAACAGGCTTTCTGAGGGCGAGTAAAACCGACAAGCCGTTGGGACTTGACACTTTTCAGAACCAGTCAGTAAAACTCATCTGCTGACAGGCCTTTTCCTTCATACGGTTCTTTAACTGTTTTTTTCTATTCGCCTTTTAAGCTGAAATTGATGCCTTCTGACGAAGAATTCCCGAAGAGAAATCTCATCACTCTTCACTAACGACATATGTTTAGTTACTCAAATGGCGTGATGTTAATCAGAAAAAGGTATTAAGTCGAAGATTGACATTTAATTAATTCTGACCAATCACTATTTTAAAGCTCAGAATCTGAGCGTGAAAAATGGAGAAAACAATGGCGTCCTTGCAGGCGTTCCTTTCCTTTCTCCCTCGCGCGCCCCACGCGCTCTCGCGCCCAAATTCCCCCTTCCCTTTCCCCTTTTAACGCCTGCCACGCAGGCTATGGTTTCCTCAACTGATCGTTCTGTTATGGCTCCTCGTGGAAATTCTACAAAATTTTTTGACCGTGGGTATTTACAGGTATTTAGTTTGTTTAAGACCCTTCCCGGCTGCCGGGCGTATAACCACGGCGTTTTCTAAATTTACCGAATAATGTAATTAACGCTTATATTACGTCCGTCTTTTTGAAAGGCCGACGTCTCAACTTATCCGCTATACTTGCTTCCGTTTCCATCAGCCTTCGTACACCGTGCTTAACGACCTGCATAGTGGCCTTAGACAGTTTGTTCTTTTAGTCAATTGCCGCAAAGTTTGTAATTTATCAATGCTGTAAAAGTGGATTTATGAGTCATTTCATGCAATTTTTTAAGCTTTTTGTCAGGGTTTTCAATGTAATTGTCAACAGCTTAGGAGTTTCACTTTCAAGCTTCGCTAAATCTATTTATAATTTAATAAAGTTGAGATAGAAGGCGCCCTCTGATAGGTTGAAAAGGTGTGCATCAGCTTAGAGTATAAAATTAACAAGGAGCTAAAGCTGTCAAGCCATCTGCCAATAGTTTTGTTTGAAAATTAAAAAGTAATGCGTGAGGAATTTAACGGCTTCTTTATCATAAAACAAAGAAGAAGCCTTTCTGTTCAGTCTGTTGTAAGGCACTCACGAAGCGGCTAGAGAACTCAGCTGGCAGAAACACTTGACCTACGTCTCGTGTTTCCCCTACGGCTTCTTTCGTGCTCTAGCCGCCTCCTAAGTGCTTTACAACACAAAAGAGCACAGTCAAGGCGTCTTTATTTGTTAACTGATTGCTTTGCGTGGATATTTCCAAGCGAGAAAAATTTTCCTAGTCTCATTAGGAGAATTTGGAAATTTTAAGTTAATTTTAGCCTAAATTTCTAAGCATTTATGCGCTCGTGGTTATTTTGTCACTTTTCTCAGATTGCTTTTTCTTAACATATTTATACACTTACACAAAGGGTCATCTCAAAATTGCTCTACTACGAAGTGTTCAAGCAATGGGACATGCATAAACACCTCATTTGGTCCTATATGCAACTGTTCAGAAGGATTCACGGGTCCAAGTTGTGAAATAAGTAAGTACAAACAAGGGTAAATTACAGTTTTCTAAACTAATACATGAGAAATTTCTCCAATTTGATTGGCTTAGAGCGGTGGTATTTCAGCTTAATTTGAAATACCTACATGTGAAAATTACAAACCTTTTCCGGGTTGTGGTATAAACAAATAATATCATGATTTGTACTTGATATTTGGCATAAATACCACTCGTGATATTTTAAAATTGTCTCAAATTTCACTCGCCTAACGGCTCGTGAAATTACGGATAACAATTTCGAAATATCACTCGCGGTATTTATGCCAAATATCAGCACTAATCATGCTATTACTTATACTAATATCAATCCACTGCTTAATGAGGAATTAAAACCGCGCTTTAAAGTCGCAATTAAACATTAAAGTGTACACTTTAATGTTTTAACGGTACCGTTGGAAGGCATGCATTCAGTGTCAAAATGGCGACGAAGTTTTAAAATATGAATGAAGATGTCAGGGCACAAAAAGACGCTTTAGAAAACCTGAACACACGAAAGAGCACATCAAGAAGGATTCTAACAGATATTTTTGTCGAAAAACTCTGAACTTAAGCCCATTTTAAGCTCTAAACGTTCGAGAGAGTGCTGGAGCTTTTGATCGATACAATCCAGGATAAACATGTCAAAAATCCAAGATTGCTAACGTAATTCGTCACCCATGATATATTAATAGGTAATCAGATGGTATACTCGTGAAATTAGGGAACAATTTCACTTGTGTTTTGTCCAAATCCTAATAATTTCCCGACCCTTCAGGCGAGGGAAATTATTAGGATTTGGACAAAACGCGCGTGAAATTATTCCCTAATTTCACTCGTCACCATTTGATTACACATACTAATTTAGGTTTGCTTTGCTGGTTTACAAGGCTTAATCGCAATGTTTTCATTTTGTACGACACGTCTTAAATCCTTTTACACCTAGCAACCAGCCCGAGCAAAAACAAAAGTCATCTCATCCGTTTTTATTCTTGGTTTTCAAGTGACGTCAAAAAAAGAATTTCGCTAGTATCTATCAAATGTTTCAGGAACAATAAGCCAGTGCAAGTCTTCACCGTGTCAAAATGGCGGTCGCTGTTTTAGCGATGGCTTTTCGTATCTTTGCACATGCCCAAAAGGACTCACAGGACAACACTGCAAAGAAAGACTAGTTGTGGGTAAGTTGTAAGTTTGAGATTTGTGTCGAGATTTCATACAAACATTCAGATCATTATGATTTTAGGTAGAAGATAACCATGTGTGGACGTTCGTAAGCCTATGTAGTTTGTATCATCCCTTGGAAAACATGAGAAAATGGTTTTGCCCTAATTTTGATAATCAAGCTACAGCTAAATTTGTATTTACTGTAACGATCCCAATTTCGGCCAAAAACTAAATCTTTAGATGAACATTGTAGGCTTTATTCAGCTAGAGTTTTAAAAGTCAGCACCACAATCCCCATGTCACGGCTATGCCACAGACGATTGTATCAAGCCTTCTTCATACTTGGGAGCTTAACATTTACCTATATGTAATAAGTAACACTTTGTACAAAGATCAAGGCGTTTCCCTTTTTTTTTCTATCTTGTATCATCACAGCCAGCAACCCGTGTCAGAGCTACCGATGCCCTGAGGACAGTGCTTGTTATCACAACGACACTCACTTTACCTGCGTATCCTATGCACAAGAGGACAGCAACAGAAAGAATGGTGAGATTTTCTCCAGTACGGTGATTTTTCAATTTCCCTGGTGTTCATCAGCCATTAGATATGCTGTGGTACGGGTATTGTTTACTGTCCTTGAATCCTTTGTATTGCGACATTTATTCACGTCTTACATCGCGAAGGTAAACAAAACTCTCTAAAACACCAAAAGTATTTCATATTTGCCCTGCAGGCCTCAGCTTAGCCCCTCCCCTACATCCCCCACTGAAATACATTATGGAAAATAGTGAAGTGTTAATAAAAATACCAAGTAAAAATACAGCAAATGTGTAATGCTACACATTAAATTAATTGAATATGAGGAACCTAAAGAGGAAAATGGATTCACAGGTGTTGTTCGTATGTTTCGTATAGCTCAATCTACCTCATCCAGCGTCGCGGGCCTGTCAGTTGCCGTTGTACTTGTGTTTGTCTTTGCTGCTGCGACTGGCTGTCTGATCTTTAAAATCCGTCGGCTGACGAACAATCAGTCAAACCACTCAAGGGCAGTTTTTAGTAACAGGGCATATCGCGCTGACTCGGAAAGAAAACCTGATGACGAAGCGTCAATAAAGGAAGTCGACCTGGGCTTGGGACCAAGTCCGGGTGGTCCGGATCCTAAACCTCCCATCTACGACAACCCTTCTCGCCCTCTTCCACCAGTTCCTCAAACCAGCAACACAAAGGCAGGACCACCGTGTTCCTCTGCGAGGCAAACAACCGAAAGTCATTATGACAATGGGACCAAACCAGGACAAGCTGAAAGACATTATATGGGATTGACAACTAAATACGAGAATATTACAAGGCCTTTTTCCCCTGAGCCAAGCAGCTACATGTCTTTGTCGCCGAAGAAACCAGAAGCTGGTTCGTATGCAGCACTTGCAACTGCTCGCCCACAGACACCAAGACCAGTGAAACCGCAACAGGGTACCCACAAAAGAAAAAGTTAATTAAATAAGGAAGAGATGGTGACACTTACGTTACGAACACACAGGCCTAATTTTAATACGTGAAACAAACAAACAAAACTATTTTTAGTACCACAACCTGAAAGAGGTTTAGAGGGTGCAACTGAAATGCTATTCAGTTTAGCATTTAGATGTAGGAAGTATATTTGCCATAATCATTGCTTTCACTCATAGTAAAAACATAACATGTAGAATTTCAAATGCACGGTATCACAAAACATTGACCGTTTTTACATTTACCAATAATACACCTTGCCTACTTCCCAAACTTTTGCGTGAGAATTGTTTCCAATTTCTCCTTGGTATTGGCATTCGTTCTAAGAATGGAATTTTAAGGCCGTTTCCTTATTGCCCAAACCTCTGTTTCAAAGTGAGCTAAAAGTGCAAAGCCATTGATAAGAAACTGGTTTTTTTTTATTCCCATACAAATAGAAATCTTTTTTTTTTTAAGGAAGGTTTAGCCTCGTCTTGAAAGTGAGAGTTTCTTTGAACTCGGAAATGGCCTATTGAAGACTGTTTAATATGCACAATTTTGGAGGATAAACAAGTTGTAGTTGGAGAAAGTGAAAATGGTTAGTGTGAAAAGTATAGACTTGAACTATTAACCTTTATGTTATTAGCTGAATTTTTAAACAGTCAGTAATATAAAATTTAAGTTCATGTCGGACTGTAGACCCCAGTCAGGTAAATATCGAACGTGAATTGGAATTTTAATTTAGTATCACAGGCGTATCAACTGGCCAAGTGGTAAATGTTAAATGTCATGTCATACTAAATTGTACTTTTCCAGATTTTCTATCCAGGGAAAATGCACGGCCGTACTGAACTAAGAGACGATACGTTAAATTCAGTTTTGCTTCACGCCTTTGAATTTTAGATTTAGTAATAAATAGATATAAATTCCTACACTTCTATAATCCCATTATATCGATAACATTTAGCCATCCATCTTGGGATAGAGGCACAGTTACCATTACATTTTAATTTGTGCTTTGTAAAGGTGGGTTTCATTTTTATTCAAGCATTTTCCATTTTTGATTTTAATTTAGAAGTAAATTAAAATACGTTTTCAAATAATTATGTAATTTATGTGTTCAATTCAAGACTTATTATCACTTACTAAAAAACGTACCCGTCCTTCGTCGTAGGCGAGTGACCCTTTATTTGTGCATTTTCTTACCGTAATAATTACGAGACAATTTCTGATAAACATGAGAACCTCAATTCTTCTTCGGGTATCGTGATAAGGCCTCCGCCATATGTAGAATTTATTGGCTCGTGATCCCCTCCCTACAGGATGGACTCAGTCCATTACACAACTGTTTTAAAAGCGTTAATCTTCTCATCATCATATACATCATCATCAAAAATGTTGCAATACCATGGTAGGTTTTGCGTTGCCATGCTGACTGAGCAAGTACTTGCTTCTAAAAAAAATTATTTTCTTGAAGAAATACCTCATGAAAAATGCTAAAAATAAAGTTTCAGATCTTCTAAATTTTCACAGTTTTCAACGGGTCACTCACCATATCCCATTTTCCGCGCGCTCGCACATTGCAAAAATTAAATGAAATTATTCATAAAGGTTAACTACACTACTTCCTTAATAGGGTCGCCAAACAGAGTAACAATCAAGCCCCTCGCTTGACCCTAGCAGGCGCAAATTTCGCTTTCGTTTCTGATGAATACGAATGAGACGAGAATAAACCAAAATATTTATCGTTTTACTTAACTATCGCCCCATGCAAGGGAGTCCAAGACACTATTGGATTCTGGATTCCACGGCATGGATTTCTAATTCCAGGTACTAGATACTGAATCTTCATCACAGGTACCTGGATAACAAATTGCACTCTTTGCGCTCTTGGATTGCACTCTTTGGATTAGTTTCTTCAGCATTGAACTAGCTGATTCACGCTCAATCATAAGTTTATACGATTGTACTCAACTTTATGTTCGCCTTTCTCCCGAGCTCTTCAATCTCTTTCAGGCCATCAAGAAATTTTTAAATCTTTTTTCGCAGAATTGGGTTACTATACTTGGCCTTTAAATCATTCTCCCTCATTTCGAAGCATTCTTTATTCCAGTCATTGAAGACGTCTTCCAATCGTCTAAAATTCATTTTGAAGTTGTCAAGAATATC